TTAGGGATTTCGCACCAGGATTTTTGTTGGTGTATCAAGCAGTGGTATTATTAAATCGCCGTCTCTTGGTATTCGTCATGTAGCTGCTGTTCCGCCATCTTGCAGTCCACCTGGTTTGTGCATTGAGATACCCACACTTTGCAGCACCTTCTTCACATATTCGTATTAATGTGCGGACACAGTGGTTCCTTTCATTGCCATTAAGACAGCGAATTCATGAGTATGTTATGTCCCGTTTAGATTCTAGCAACGAAAACAAATTTTGTCTCTCATATCGTTCCTTCCGTCCTTTGCTACAGAAAACCACTGAAAATTGACGATTTTCGTCTTGATGTTTGGGTCATTGTTTATGGTGGTTCCTCGATTCTTCTTCAAACTGCAAATCTTGATAAATCAGTTTTTGACACAATGCATTTTTTAATCGGAAAGTATAACGTCTGCAACTGACCCTAAAGTATTCTTTTATTTTCATCTCGCTGAAAGATTTAATCTTTTTTTTTTTTTGCTAAAATTTCAGAAATCACGTGACTAGCATAGGAGTTGGCTGGTTATAATGTTTAACTTTTGAATAAATTTTGCTTCTGAGCAAGAAGGTTTCGAAGGCGAGTCTATTCTTAAGTGGGCCTTCACGCCACTCAGTTCTGATGGAATGAATGCTTTGTTGAATAATGTCTCTTACTATTGCGTTATTCTAGAACAGAGGCGTTTCGGTTAGAAACGATGCAGGCAGCAGACTCTTTCAGAGAAAAAAAAATGCCCCTTCAGTTTGCATAGTTTTAAACGCACAACTTTCATAAGATATTTTCATTCTGTTCTTTACTGTAGCCATACGAGGACAGAAGAATTTGTTACAGAAATGTGCAGTGAGTAACATTAATGCACTCGACAATCAGATAATCAACTGCGCTTGCAGAGCTGATAAGTAACTTTCATTCATTCTTTCCAGTTGCGCCTGTTGCTTTCCATATCTCACGAACTGATAATGTACAGTTATTCACGCTTATTATCACAAACATTGTTGTACAACCACACTGTTTGAACATCAGCAAACACTAGTCTGAAATGTAAAACTTGCTTTTAAAACATTACAACAGTTTGAAAATGTTTGATATCTCAGGAGGTCTCAGGGGGAGCGGGGATAGCGCAGTCGGCAATGCGACTGGTTGCGGTCTGGGCTACCGAGTACCGGTAGGGCAGACCGGTTCTGGGACCCACCCAGGCTCTCGTCTAATCTGTTCCTGGGGCTGGTCTCACGGGGTAAAGCGGCCGGGACGTGAAGCTGACCACTCCCAACTAGTGCCGAAGTGGATCTGTACAGCCATTCCCCCATAGGTCTTCATGCCGTGCTTGATTAGTTAAACACAGAGACTGCTCTCTTTACCTTTTTATGATATTACAGATCCGACATATTGACGATTAGAATAATGTTATTTCGTTTCAAGGCCGCAAAGGAAGATAATTGTGGATCACAGCAAATCACTTAGAATTGTTGACACGGCTGTCAATACGGCGTTGTCGTCCCGTCTGATCTAATTGCAGTAGTGGAATTATAAAAATCACGAACACTTGCCAACAAAGAATTTGCTCCACTATACACGACGGTAATTCGAGTTTTAAGTGTAAATCTATTTAATTTAAATCGTGTGGATATAGGTAAATTAATTATATACTCCTCTGCTCCGGGGTTCTCTAAGATCGCGGTCTCCTTTACTAGAGATGCCCATTATTAGCCAACATTCCATATTTTGAAAAAAAAGTAAAAGTGTGCTTATGAGATAACCTTGCTGTCTGTGTCAGTGTGTCCTCCCTGTTTACTTTTGAATGACTTTATGGAACTTTGTAGAGATATCAGGCACCTGAACGAATCTCAACATACGTAATTCACAAATCCCTCCCACCCAAATCAGAAATCTTTGAAGAATGTCGAATTGCTGAGGCAAAACCTTAATATTGTTCGAATGCCTGAACCAGTCTTCATGAAAATTTATATGTAATCATACCACCTAAGCCCACCTACGGTAATAACCATAATCTTACTTAAATGCCTGAACAGATCGTCCTGAGTGACCTTTCCATGGTCCATTTACTTTCAAATATTTTGAAAATAATGCCTTAAAATTATTTGACTATTTATAGTTCTTTTGTTAGCGGTATTTACTCGTGGGCCACACTGGGGCGAGCTGCGGATTGCACATCACTGATATAAATAGTGACGGAGTTGTAAAATAAACCACAAGAAATACCTCTTCCAGTAATAACAATATATGGACGGGCAATCAAGTAATACGTTAAACATGTCTGTTAGTAATTCTGTAGGGAAGACACCCATCTTGCCCTAAGACTTAAAACAACTTGGGTTTATTCTATCCGTACAAGAAAATTAAATGTTTGACGTTTAATGCGTGATATGAAAGCCATGTATGCGTGTGTCCTTTCCCCAGCCTATCCATGGGGGCCCGGGATGGTGTGTAGGCCACGGGGTTCAGTTCCCGGTGGGGATTTTTCTCTTCCCTACTGTATCCATATTGGTTATAGGGCCCGTGTATTCCTCAACCCAGTGGGTGAAGTGGCTCATTCCCAGGAAGTGAAGCGGTCGGACCATTAAGCCTATCGCTTATTTCCATCAAGTGCCGAGGTAAAGAATGTGTGGGCTGTATCTCCATTCCATGGTAATTAAGCTCGAGGATAACTTTACCTCTTTATCCTTCTATGGCGCCCAACGTCATTATCTAGCCCCCATTCGCTGTAAGCCCGTAAACAGGAAAGAACCACGTTACACTGGCTACCAGTTGCACGATTGTATTCCACAGAATTATTTGGAACATACGGCAGACATCTCTGTTTTTCTCTATGGCACATTTAAGCAGTGCGTGAATTCTGCCAGATAAAGTTTTGGACCAGTGTAAGGTAAATGTAATGTTGTCCCTGTGCGTAACTAATTTAGCACTGCGCCATTAAGGCGTATGGGGAGTGGATGCATAGATCCACATTTTCTTGACCTTGGCATTAGCTGGAGGTGAGTGGTCAGCTTCACGTCCCGGCCGCTACCTCCTGGGAAAGAGTCCCCCGGTACCCATTGGATAGGAGGTCGGGTGGACCCCAGAACCGGCCTGTGACGACGTGGAGAAGAGAAAATTCTTGGCCCTACCGGGACTCGGAACTCCGACCCCTCGGTCGTCCAGCTCGTAGCCAGTCGCTGTACCGCCTGCGCTATCCCGGCTCCGAACTGAACCACTGTGCTGCATATTATAAATGCACTCTGTTAGAAATATGAGTATGTACATCCACAAAGACACCAGACAAATTCAGCGAACTTCAGCGAAAGAACGTGTACAGGGTGTGACAGTTTATTTCCCGGAATGGCCGCAGTGTGTCGCTGGGCTGTTGAGTCAGGCAAACTCACGTACCCAAGCACGTTTGGACATGTTCGAACTTGCGTTTTCATGAGCCAGAGACCAAATGAGTCGTTCGTTCCCAAGCAGCAGAGGAAGTAGTACGTGTCTGTGATATACCGTTGGCGGAAAAAATGAGTGACAAGAATATGGAGCAGCGGATAAACATCAAGTTTTGTGTGAAGGTTGGTAGAAGTGCTAGTGAAATGTTGACCCTATTAACAGTGGCTTATGATATATACGCTATGAAGAAATTGAGTGTTTTTGAATGTCATAGGCGGTTCAAGGAAGGGCGAGATGTGCAAGATGACCCAAGAAGTCGGAGCCCAAAACGCAAAGGACAGATGCAAATGTGGACACAGTACGAACATTGGTGCGCACAGATCGAAGATAAGGTGTGAGACTAGTAGCAGAAGAATGGATTATTGATAAGGAAACCGTGCAACAGATTAGTACGGAGGATTTGGGAATGAGAACATTTTATGCAAAGAGTCTTGACAAATGACCAGAAACAACCTCGGCTTCACATTTCATCTGATCTTTTACACATTGCAGAGATGTTTGATGGGGTCATTACAGGTGATGATGTTTTCAATACGACCCCGAAACAAAACGCCAGAGTTTGAAGTGGGAAACACAGAATTTACTTCAGCCGAAAAAAAGCACACGTGTCTCGCTCGCAGTTCAAAACCATGCTTGTGTGTTTCTTCGATCACAAGAGGATAGTTCGCTATGAATTCATTGCACAAGGACATACGGTGATTCAACAGTGTTATTTGGAAGTGCTGACAAGGTTACGGCGTAGAATCTGTTCAGAGGAAAAGACCCGAACTGTGGCCTGACAAATGGATTCTCCACCACGACAATGCCGCTGCGCATGATGAGTTAAGATTTCGCGAGTTCCTGACTATGAAATCCATCACAAAAATGGACCATCCACCTTATTCACCCGAATTAGCCCCCTGCGATTTTTGACTCTTCCCCCCCCCCCAAAAAAATGCTCTGAAGGGACAAAGATTTGCTGAAATTCCTGACATCCAATGCAACGTAACCTTACTGCGAGGTATTCCGGAAAACGATTTCAAGACCTTCCGACAGTGGCACCAACGTCACACGAAGTGCATAGCTACACAAGGAGAGTATTTCGAAGACGACAGCAGCCGCTAGTGCACAGGCAAGCAAAATTTGCTTTCACAGGGACATTCCGGGAGTTAAATTGTCACACCTTTTACATCAACACCCGTAACAAATCACTCTTTTTTAAATTGTTTCGTTGAAAGATGCCCTCGTTATCTTAGGGATTACGCGGAGTAGGATACTTAGTACTATGCGTAAGAAAAAATATATTTAATCCTAGGTTAGATTAGTGTTCTGTAGACATACGGCATATAACGCTGCTGTTATGGAAAACGGAGTGAAACATGTAACCAGCTTATGAACTAGAGGTCACTAGAGTTCTAGTTGAAAGCGCTGGTAAATGATGAAGAGGCTGGTTTCCTGTCCAACACTTCGTGTGTGTTACAAGTTGTATATATAGACAGGAAACTGGCATTGCTCAAGGGTACAGGCTTCCCATATTTGTTTCAAGGTTAAGCTATGGTGACTGGACAAGTGACGTAGGTTGTCAGTAGTGATGCGACTTGACAGCTGTGCATGTGAGGTGCACTAATATTTTGTTGTAAAATGTTGTTGATGCTTTATATTTGTAAAAATCTTCGATAATCTGTAACACGGAGAGTGCCAAGTTTATATGCTACTTGTTAACTGGACTCTGCAATGGCAGAAGGTATGTAGTCTGTATAATGGCTTGGGATTATAATTCCGAACAACTTCTTTTGCTGGGATACATCGACATACTTCGTGTCGTTTGTTATATAATATTTCAGTTATTTTGTTTGTGCTCGTTGCTTTTGGCGTATGATATCGTTCTGTAGATGTATGGGCGATTTGGTTTTTCCCCAACTTTTCCACAAGTCAGATTCATAGAAATGTGTTAGATTCATTTCAATTTATTTCTGTAAAGCTTATTCGCTGTTTTAGCTGGAATTATTTTCTCGTGTCAGATTTCTTTGCAAATATAACAGCTCTAAACAATGAAAAATGTGCTTTAAAACTTTAATTAAAACTACAAACAAAATTAATTTGTTTGTTTATGATGAGTTAGAGAAGAAGAGGAACACGCATACCTTAAGGTAACAAGGCGGGGATTTGAATCAAGTAGCCTCTGAACAGGTTTAGCGGGTTGTGGTTTCTCAAGGTTAAATTTATGTTCTCATCACAGTAGCAAAGATGCTCAAACACCTGAGGCAATTCAGTGCACACGTATTGGGAGTGTTCTTCTTACATCGTTGTCTCCTGAACCGAATATCATTCGTAAAGCCCAGTTTTACGTGTTTTGGTTTCGAGACTGCAATATGAAAGTGCTAACCTCCGACCACTGCCCCCAGTCGAATTTACATTTGACAGTGCTCTTCTGAATTTCGTGCTTGACGTAATGTTCAAGCGTAACGTTGGCTGCAGTGCGTCGTCATAGCCATCAGCTAACCTTGCGACTAGAAATTGAAGAGAATGATGTTTTTCACGTTATGTTGAAGGAAGTCGAGACCTGATGTTTTCATTTCCGAAGAAAGGCATTATTTCTGAGTTGTATTCATTTTCTGACATGACTGTAATATGGTCATGGGTCTCACTATTGCAGGAGTTGATTTCAGACGATTTTGTGAGACTCCATTTAGGCCTAGGAGATCTGAGAACTTTATTCAGGGGTCATATACTTGCAGCTGTTGGTTAGTCCCAGTAGGTTGTTTCTTCCTGAACTGTGAGAATGCTACTTGAGGATATTTGAGCAGATCAGGGTTTACATGAAGTGGGTTAGTGGCACATCACGTTTTTGTATCAGAAGAGGCAGGGTCAGTTATTTCATTCATATGTTAAAGTAGAGGGACCATTAAGCTAGCAGCTTCTTTCCGTTTCAGTGTTAGAACCAACATTAGGAAAAAATTAAGTAGACCAAGGTGAGGTAATTATTGATTATGAGAATAATGAATAATCAGTTCGTTAATATTTATGTTTGTGTTTACCATATTGAGGAGTTGTTTCAAAGAAATAGCGTCTCCGGTCTAGAAAACCGAAATTAACGGCCGTGGGAATTCGTTGCGCTGACCATGCCACATCCTCTACCCGCTAAAGTTGGCACTAACTTCGCCGACAAGCGCCGGTCTCTCGGTCGGTGTACTTCGCTTGCAGACTAAAACCACGGAGTTATTTTGTTTTGTTTTCCACCTATAAGTTGGACACACTGTTAAGGAGGAGAATCATATGGTGTCCTTAACTAGGTTGTGCATATGTTGTCCATACTGCCATTAATGGTCAGTCATTATCTTCACAGTTCTATACAGAAATTATGACAGTTTTTTCTTGGTTTATTTGACAGCACTTTTGAGACTGAATAGGTTGTATGGGTTTGGATGAAACTGCTCATAAATATTAATTTAGGAAAGTGGCAGCCTTGATTAATTTAAAGTTCCTACCCTAGTAGTTAACTACAAGGAGTGAGAGAAACTATGGAAAACATCGTTTACTTAATATTATTATTTCCTGATTTAGAACCTTCTAAATATGAAGTAGGAGTGACCAATATATTGTAAGAATATATTTAGGGCATTTGTTTGTCACATGACAGCAGATGAAGTACTGGCTGCTTGTAATTTTTATGTGCACTGAATTTAAACTCAACAACATGTACGCATGTTGAACATGATGGTATCTGTCCCTGACTTCAGGATACAAGGATGCTAAGGCGAATTAAGTGAGACGGTCATGGGAACAAAGTGGCTGGCATTATTACATACCAGAGATGTACTGTGGAAGTATCACGGTTAACTTTGTGAGTGAATTAAACCAATGTAGGTGGAACACTGTGGATCCCTGGATGAAGGTCATCTTATATATATCATGTATAGTTCATGTAGGATTCATTATAATTATCAGGGAAGAAAAGAACATTAAAATCAATATTATCCAAGATATACACAGACTGTTCTTAGATATTGACTCAGAAATAAATTTACAAGCAAGAGAGTTAAAATATATGAAACTGTAGTGTTACTCACTGTTTGGTAACGGTTTGAAACTTTGTTTCTTAAATTAAGAGAACAGTGTATTCTGCAAGTGCTTGAGAATGGGGTAAAGTAAAATAAAGTAAAGGTATCCCTGTACTAGGCCGTGGAGACCCATAGGGTTGTGAGATGTTGAGGTTCCCACATTTTCTAGATAATCGTCTCACAGATGGCAGCAAGGTTGTCAGCCCTACGCGCCGGCCGCACTTTACCCCAAAGAATATTCCAAGAATATTCCTGGTACTCATTTCTGTTAGAGGCTTAGTCGACCCCAGGGCCATAGTGCGGCTGGAAGGATTAGGTCAATTGAAAAAAATCCAGTGACCTCACTGGGACTTGAATCCGCGACCTTCCAGCTTGTAGCATAGTGCCTCAACCAACTACGCTACCGTGTGCCCCGCTTGAGAATGGGGTGCTGAAGATAATATTTGGACCTGACAGGAAGGAAGTGACAGGAAGCTATAGAAAGTTATGTAATAAGGAGCTTCATAATTTGCATTCTTTTCCAGATGTTGTTAGTGCTAGTAAATCAAGCAGGGTGAGATAGGCAGGACATGTAGCACTCGTGGGAGCAGTGAGATATGAATGTATAATTTGGTTGAGAAACGTGAAAGAAAGAGGTGGGTTGTGGAAAATTTATGGGTAGATGGGAGGATAATATTGAAATGGATATTAAATATAATGGAATTATGTGGACTGGATTTATTTATCTCAGGATAGGGATCAATGGCCGTCTGTTATCAATAATGTAGTGCTCCTTTGAGTTTAATAGAAGCTGGGGAATTTGGTGAGCAGTTGAGAAACTGTTAGCTTATCAAGAATGACCCTGATCCATGGAGTTAGTAATATGAGAGATACATATTTGTAATGTCTCATAACTTAACTGTAATATAGTTATATAAATACTTATCACACATTTAAGTATATACAAATGTAATTACCAGATAAATGTTAGGGTAATAATGATATTGAGGAAAGAATAGAATTAATGGCGTTATTTACCAGTTCAGAAAGTTCTGTGTCTTGTATTTTCTGAAAGAATGAAGATGAAAATGTACAAAAGCAGTTCAGGCACTCTCTTATGGTGATGAAATTGGTGTGTTATGATACTTTTTCATAAATCATGAAACAAAAAACTGAAGAACATTTGAAGTTCTGAAACAAATGAGTGCGAGATCTAAAACTAAATAGCACTGATTTTTTAAACTGATTTTTGTGCAATTCTGCCACCTACAGATTGTTAGATCAGCATGTAAGTCAGCATTTAAGAGTGATGTATCGTATTTACGCATGTATATGCCGCACATTTTTTGCCCAAAATTCAAGAGGAAAACTGGGGTGCGGCTTATATTCGAAATATTCGAGATCACACTTCATTTAAAAAAAAATTATATTCATAATTAGTAATACAGGGTGTAATACTCCTGAAATAATATTCCAAGAAAATTATTTTTTTCTACAATTTCTGTCTGAAAATTGTGCTGCGGCCTATACACGCACGCGGCCTATACATGCGTAAATACGGTAATTCAGGCTATACGTGCCACGTACAGATTGTTGGATCAGCACGTAAGTCAGCACTTAATAGTGATGTCATTCAGGCTATACCTGTTAGTACATATGGCAGATTTTCTTTTGCTAGTGGAGCGCTGAGGTATGCCTGATTTTATTCTGTACATTACCTTTACTTGTACATCAGTAATCTGTGTGGTCAAATTACTTAGCATGAGCGATGCAGATGATCTATAGAATAAGTTGGGAAATGTTAGAAAAATATATTTGATTTGGTTCATCCAGGTCCATCACACTAGCAGTTGTTATAAAAGATTAATCAACTCCGTCCAGTGTGACTGATAAAATGTTTTTTCTTTCTCTCTTTTTTAATCTTTCAACCTTGACATGTTTCGGTCTTAAAGAACGTGGCCATGGCGTAATTTGAGATACTATCCAGCCATTTTCATGGAGGGACTGAGGAAAACCGCGCAAATCTTCAGGCCGGAAGCAGATCTCCATGCTAAGATTTGAGCCCAAAACCTTCAGAATGCAAAGCATGAATGTTATTGAACCTTGACATTAAGCGATGCAGGTATAACCGGCCAACCTTTCAGTTTGCTATTTATTCCATTAAGGTATTGTGACGTGAAGCCAAAGAAGCCTGAATGGTGGAGCCAGAGGAGACGGCCATTGCTAGGTAACGTCTCGGTGAACATGTTCCCTCGGAAACGGATGCGCACACAACAGTATAGGAACTTTTGGAAACGGCGTTTTCTATGTGGTCTGTGCCGAAGGATCAGCGGGCCCAGTCGGCAGTTGCCAGCCAGCGAGGATTCAAAGTTTATGGACTTTGGTTTTTAAGAACTTGGGCAGGCTTTTTTTTTCGTGCTAGCACTTGTTCAATATGACTTCCATTTTTGTCTAACAACCTCTTGAAGTCGAATACGCTTATTTGTCATGACTCGTCGAAACTTGCTTTCGTCACTGTCGTTGCACAATTGGATAATCACTGCTATCATTTCCATGATATTAGGAGGTTTCATTGGGAACATCTTCAGGAATTCCCGTAAAAAGAAATGTGCGATAAGTCGCGCTCAAAATGTCCGCAATTGTGACGCTATGGATAACGGTGTGACATGATGCCAAGGCCGAAAATGGTGTTCAGAAAATCCAA